TACTTTTTCTCGAACTTGCAGATTCATCTTCTGTAACGTTCCAAATTTATATAAACTTATAGCATTTGGCCCACCGCTAGACGGTTTTACATATCAGTATAACTACATCACTTCATGATTTATTTATGTACACTTTAGTCCTAGTACTGTAATATGCTTCCGTTATTGCAACAATTTGAAAGAGCTTGATACAATCATTTCCTCATCAATACTTCCCTTTGTGTAGCAATACCCCATGCACTGCTTCAACGTTTAACCAGGCCAGATCTGGGTACTAATACCAGAGGGTGCTACTAGGTTAATACCACATTACACATCAATGTGTGCAGTGCAGATCATGTTTACGCTCTACGCTCTACTGCATAACAATCAACCATTTGGTTTGAAATGTTGAACATGACAATAATTTCAAAAATAACATGTCGACTAGTTCTCTATATTTCACTCTTACCATGAAAAAAGCAGGAAGAAATGCGATGTAAATATTGAAGTGAAGAACTGTTTGCTGTACGACGGGGTCTATCAAAGTATCAACCTACTATTCCCACGAAACCATCCAGACCTTACGTATTTAGTAACACAATGCATACAACACAACAATACAGTAAAGGCCTGAATAGAATAATCGTATATATGCCACTATACTGAAAATTACTGGAATATAAAATAAAACTTACACACGTACACCTAGCATTCGCTCACGATGGTAATGACGCGGTAGTCGCTGATTGGGCAGTCCTTCACTGGTTGGTAGGCCTACTCATTTGGACTTTAACATTGCAAATATAGAAGGCCTAAGCCCTATTATTACGAGAATGTATGGATTTGATAACAGTATGGATATATGAAGCACACAGTGGTTTTTAAAGATCATGAGTCCCTTTAGGTTACTAAACAATTATAAATTCAATTTCATATCAAAATTGCTTACTTTGTATATTTAAATAAGTTATTAACTTGCAAAAAAAAACCATTTAAAATGGAAAAAAAATCGTAGTGTTACGTAATCTTTTTTAATTCTTTTGCAGACCCTTAAATGTTTTGGTTCAATGCATTTTGTAGAAAAACGTCAGAGCAAAAACTAATTTTGTTTCGAACTGTCTCGTTATGTTTTTATATTTCAAATTTTACCTTCTCTATTTAAACATTTATAATTTTAATTATTAACTATTCAGCATTCAATTCAGTTTTCAGTACAGACATATGTCTGTTTGTGATTGGAAGTTTAACTTACTGGATTTTTAAATGAGCTGGACTCCAATTGGTTGGCTAATTGTGATCATAATGTCAAAGGTCATCCGCTCCGTTGCGAATTAATGTGCATAATAATGTGAACATATCGTGGCAAACTATGGTTCATCGTGCGAATAACAACTTATTTCCATGGTCACTGTGCAAACAGTTGCTTAGACAGCGCGAATGGTCATCAAATACCACCATTTTAAGCATAAATTTTTCAATTTCCCCTTCACGTTGTACATCTTTTTTCTTTTTTTTTTTTTAATACTCAGTGGTAGTGTATCAGAACGGTAATCGGAAGGTCTTGGGTTCGAATCCTGATGTGGACATATTTTTCATAATATTTATTATCATTCTATTTTTAATATAATGTTAGTAAGCCTGCCACTTATTGCGCCCGACGGCCGTCTGCCCACCGCGATTTTCCGTGCGAATAACAACTTATTGCTTGGGTAGACCGTTTAAACACTTTGACAATGCGAAGGGATACAAATGTACGACTGCTCTCACGTGATTCCCGGGTAGCCATCAATACATTACACATTTTAAGCATTGATTTTTCAATTTTCTCTGCACGTTGTACATTATTTTTTGATAATCCTCATAGCTTAGTGGTAGTGTATCAGAACGGCGAATCGGAAAGTCTTGAGTTCGAATCCCGATGAGGACATATATTTTCCATAATATTTATTATCATTCTTTTTTTTAATATAATGTCATATAAATAAAGCCTGGCATTCTCACTGCGCCCAGACGGTCGTTGGCGGCCCGACGTGATTTCGTGGAGAACGCAACGCCACGACGCGCGCAACGAATAATGTTTTTTGACGATCCCGTTCGGATTGTCACCAACAATCAGCAGACGGCGGCGTCGCGTCATCTAGCGCTCACAGGGAGCAGAGTTGGGTGCGTCGTGCGACGACCGTCGTACGACGCAGCAAGTGCAAGACTTTTAAGTCTTTAAAAGATCGCGGAGAACAAGAAATAGTGCAAAACCTGTTTCGATCTAATTGCTACTCTTTACCTGGCTAGCATTTATCTTTCAATTATACTAGGCCTATTATTTGAACACTTCAGCGTTGATTAAAGCTACTTGAAATTGGGATGATGACAAAGCCAACTTATTATTACAGATATTCGTAGTGCTGTATTGTTGTATTAAATATTATGTACGTTATACGTACATGAGATCAGATAATATTAATAATATGCGAGTTTATCGGCCACAAGGACAGGCAATTCAAACATAGAGCATAATCTAACAGATGTTGCATTGTGAACGTCGATACATTTGTTTAACTAGTTCGTTTTTAAGTATTGACTGCGCCAGAGATTTTAGGGAATAATTAAAAGAGCCTTATTAATTTTTTTAGATGATGTTGACTCTTAACCATCTTGCCATCAGATGGTTATTTTGATGGTTTCTCTATTCGTCCACATTTTTAAGCCTCATATTATTTCAGTAAAATCATTCCTAATTATTGCGAAATACCTTTCTGGAAATGCATCTTACTATGCATTTCGCAATAATTAAGAACGATTTTACTGAAATAATAGGCTTTAAAATGTCGACGAATTGAGAAAACCATCAAAATAACCATCTTGTTGCAATTTGATCAGCTCCGGAGGGCAAGCCAAAATAAGAGAGTTGCAATTAATCAAGTTTAGTGGAATTATTGTTTTGTTTTTTTTGTTTTTTTTTATTACGAAAGTAGTTTGGTCGATTTACAAAATTAATGTGGTGGTCAGATCAATATGATGCCGAGATTTGAACGGTTAAGGGGATTTTACTTCAACATTTTTGTGTTTTGTGTGGAGTATTATATAATTAATTTTAATTGAAACTTAATTTTAGAATGAGACTTTTTAATGTTTGTTAATAGCGGTTTTATTTTTGATTGTGATGTATTGAAAGGATATAGACCTAAATATCGGCATACATGGCAATTAATTTGTTAGAACGTAAAATATTAGCATTGGGGAGATACAGTATATCACATTGGGTTAACAGGCCAAGTACGGAATCATTTGGTACACCTTTGGTACGTTCTTTAAAAGAACTTAAGGAACGAACCTGCTGTGATATCGACATGGTAGGCTTACCGGACCAACGATGTTTCGACAACATGATCGATGGTGTCGAAGGCTGCGGATAAATCTAAAAGTAATGCCGGGCACTCATTGCGTCCTCAACGGTCGTACGATCCGTCGGCCGACTGACTAATCCATCTCTGCTCCATTTCTGAACCCTAGACACAGGGCGGATCCAGTCGGAACTTCTCGGGGTGGGGGGGGGGGGCACAAAATGAAGTTCACGTCGCCATGCCCACCTCAGCCCACCATGGTTGGTGTAAATAAGTAGTAGGCTAAATAGTCGACTCTCCTTTCACCCACTTGGATCCACCACAACCACCAGGTTTTGCTATTCATTATCCACCATCAACTAAACTGCCTTAAAAAAAAAAAAAATGGTTCGTGTGAAAAAAAAAAAAAAATTGATTTGTGTGAGAATCGAACACAAAGCCTCCAGGTTTGCTATTCATTATCCACCATCAACAAAACTGCCTTTAAAAAAAAATGGTTCGTGTGGGAATTGAACACACACCCACCAGGTTTCCGGTAACATGATTAGTCTATTTTTTTTCTAATTTGCATAATGAATTTTTCAAATATTTTTCTCTATTTAAAAAAAAGTGCGTAAGTTATGGAGATGGTAACTATCAAAAATCGATTATAAATTTAATTCTACATTTTTAGACAAAATATAAACCCTCTTGGCCCACGGCCCATTTTTGACACCATGACCAAGCGTAATATTAACCTGCAGTGTATATATACAAAGAATTTTTTCTAGTAGGACCAGAGTTGACTAACTGGTACTTGGTGTGGTACTAGGTTTCTTGCATTTATGGCTTAGGGGCCGCGGGTTACCTCCCTCCGTTTAGTCATGCTGGATCAGGAGTAGTAAACTCAGCGATCGTGGGTTCGATTCCCACACGGGGCAAGTTTTTTTTATAATTTTTTTTAAGGTCGTGGGTTCGAATCCCACACGAGCCATTTTTTTTTTTTTTTTTTTTTTTTTTAGTTAATGGTGGATAATGAATGTATTGTACTCGTTGAGGACGTCGCGAATAACAACAAAAAAGAACGTGTCATGTTCGAGCCTAGGCCGTCATGGAAGCTCAACGGCTCCTGTGTAATTCATGTTGAGCCAACTGCAGACGAGGTTACAATCTTTTCAGAGATAAGCTGGAACAGTGCCCATCAATGGAAGGATTTTAATACTGAGGAATGGAAGTTAGCGAAGTCCTTGGCTTGCTTAACCGTTTTTCTTCGATCGTCGCTTCCAACCGTCTAGGCGCGTTTAGCCTAAAGAGGGCCTACATAGCAGGTCGAGATCCATGAAAGGTCGTATATAAAGATGTGGGTAACCCACATCTTTATAATAAAGATGTGGGTTACCCACATCTTTATATTTGCACAAGTAAAAAGTTTAAAAAAAAAACCATGTTGTAGCTACTGTAGTTAAGTAGTAGGACTATTGCTAATGAAACTATAGGGTAGGCTAGTTAGGTAAACATATCTGGCTAAACGACCTTAGTGTATCTAGGCATAGTTAGGCTTAGGCCTATGCCCTACTACTACTACATTTACAATTTTGTTAATAAAATTTCTAGCAAGTGGAGACTCTTGAATCGGTCTGCAGCTGGACTTGTGATAGTTACCTATGATCAGCTTTAGTGTTATAAATATGCATTTTTCATTAGTCGTTATACATGTTAAAAATTATTATTGTTAACACTGGTAATAATAAATATAAATATATAATAAATATATGGCAACAATATAAATATATAACAACAAAATATATATGAACAAATTATTTAATTTTTATATATGTAATATTTACGCTATTAACTGCAGTATATTAAATAATATTAATGCATTATATACATTCTATACAAATTAATAAACAATATAAATAAAATATAAAAAAATGTAAAATTTAATACTGTACTTATATACATACATATAAAGCAATAATAATATATAATATTTTAGTAACGTAACATATTTAAAACATTAAAATATATATATACATATATATCTTAAATTAATTATATATATATAATATATATATATACTGTCTCTTATACAC